TCTGGGTCGAGCTGCGAGCATGGGCCAGGGCTTGCCTGGCGGGGCTTGCCTGCCAGGTGCACGGAGCCCGCTGGAGTGAGGAAAACCTGGTCCCTCTATGGCTCGTCACCCAAAACATGAACTCACAGGCAAATCTCCCAGTTTTTAGCTCTTTGCCTTTCCTCTCGAGTTCCAGCCAGCCAGGAGCATGGACGCCCCGTGTCCGCACGGCTCTTTCAGGGGCCCCAGCTGCCCTGGAGCTACAATGGCGCAGGCGCGCCGCCACTCTGAAGTCCAGCCGCCAGGAGCCAGCACAAAGAAGCAGTTTGTGTGCTCAGCCCCCCCGGGAACAGTTGGTGCAAGGGGACCTGGTATGCAGGTATTTGGTAAGTAGGGTCTTTCTATGCCCTGAGCGGAGGTTTTTCTGTTTCGGACTCTCTCCTTTTCCCCTCTCACTCCACATAGAGGGTAGAGGGGGATCGCCTCTGACCCTAGAGTCTCTGATCCCAGCCTGATTTTATCTTCCCCAGTTCGCACTCAAGTTAGAAGGCTTTCTCTGTGGATTCTGCGTCCTTTTTTTCCCCAATCTCTCAGGTTTTGTAAGGTTTCCAATGGCTTCAGATCTTTTCCGTGTGATGTATGGGCGCGAGTGCAAGTACGGAGCTCCTTACTTCTCCGCCATCTTGCCCCCTCTCCATGAACCACTTTAAACAGCCTCATATATCAGCAGGTGGGACATTGATTCAGCTCATAGTTTGGGAAACAATGAACCAAGAAAAACCTTGTAAGAGTGTAGCAAATATTGTGAGGTGACTTTATGTGATAAATCTTCAGTTGAAACTGGAATTCGACAGCCTTGCTTAATCATGGAACAACACTGACTCAAGATGAAGCCTGCTTAAGTGAGGAATGCATATCACCCTTTGCGATTCCTACTGACTCACAGAGTGACGGTGGCTTCTTAGAGTTTCTTTATCCCCACCCCCTTCACCAAATTCTGCTTATTTTAACAGGCATTGGTTTTGTGGCCTCTTTCTCCAAATAAGGCATTTGCGATGCCTGCTTTCGATGTAAAGTCTACAATATGCAGAAGCATGTGAAAATACGATTTTTCAGAAGTGGAGGGTCAGTGAGAAAATCACTCCTATCTCACTTGTCCATCTTGGGGCAAAAGGGGAAAAAATAGGCCTTTTCACCGTGTCTTCCTACTGAAAGGGCAAGAATATCAGACAGTGGAGAGGGCTTCTGATGGGGAGAGTTCAGATTTTAATTTAAAAAATCATAAAGAAAATGAGAGTTTAGAGCTTAGAAAGGAAAAGAGGAAAAACGTCTGGCTTGAAGTGCATGCTTTTTTGAGATCATTTGTCTCCATAATTTTTGGATGAAGATAACAAGACTGAGAGGCAGTTTTAGGGCTGGTTTAAGGATGGATTCAGGCCAAGTTTGTTCACAGCTCTTTGATGAAAACCCAGCCTCTTCCCAGTATCACTGCTTCCTCTAACTCATCAATGAAATATCACAGGCACTTTATTCTTAGTCAGCATTTATTTAACCCAGCTGTGGGTCTATGAAAATGTGTCTCCTCTAGATGTGATTGAGCTTTCAGCTGTCATCATTGTCTCTACAGTTGTCTCCTTCTCTCTCTTTTCATGCCCTGTTTCATTTGTAGCAGCTCCAGGCTTCAGGGAGGAAGTTTTACAAGTATTGTATTTCTAGAACATGACTTGTGTCACATTTACCAGGTAGTAGAGTCAATATGATATCAAAAGTCACATAGGCAAATACCAGTCTTCCTTCTCTTACCCAGAATTTGTCAGATGAGTTAGATTTTCTTTAGAGCTTCACATCCTGAAATTAGTCTATGTCACAAGGCTACTGGGAATGTAATAAGAAATGGGCCATTTGTAATTGGTCACATGTAACTCTGCCCTTCCCAGTCCCTGTGCTTGAAACTCTTCTAAAAAGTCAACTGAATACATTCACTGCTGAACCCCTTCTTAGTGGGACCTTGGACAAGAGGCAAGTTACTGAACTTTTCTAGGGTTTAGTTTCCTCACCTGTGACACTGACATCTGGTGACATGACAATTAAATTAGTTTATATCTGAAAAGTGATTACATCAGTTCCTAACATATAACAAGAATTCAGTGAACTTTTTTTTTTATGTCAGGGACTCCTCTTTTGCTTAATTCCCTTCTATTTCATTCTCCTGACACATTTTCTGTATCATTATCTTAGTCATTATCTGCGTAGGCATCTCTCTCCTCCATGAGGCTGTAGTGCTATAGTTTTCTTGAGGACAGAAACTGTCATGTCTATTCTTTTAATCCCTAGCAGTAAGCACGGTTTCTGATACACAGGAATACAATGAATGTTGAATCAATAAATAAGTCATTGGATGAGGAATTTAATATCTGAACAACTACACAACATATACACAACAAACTAAGTGTAGCCTTTTTTGCTATAGGAAAAAAAAAAAGGAATGAGAGAAAATCTACCAAATCATTAAGAGTGCTTACCCTGGAAGGTGAAATGATGTATAACATGAATTTTTCTCTTTTTGCTCTTCTGTTTTCCCCTATAATGAGAGTGTGGATGGGGCAGTGTTTACACAACATTGCATGCAAAGAACTGAACTCTGCTCTAACCAGAGAGTTTGAGGATTATATTGATGATGACACTAACTACATTAACAAATGAACTTGGAAATTTTGGCATCTTAACATAATAGCAATTTATTTCTTATTCACATGTTGAAGGTGTATACACACCTTTGTATCTACTCTATGAAGTCAATCAGGGACCCAGCCCCATGGAGGCTCTTCCCTCCACACATGGTTGCCAGGTCAGCCTGGTAACCACACATTTGGCTGGCAGACTGGGGAAGAAAGGGCATGAATAGATTCATATGCAACATGTATCTCACTTCTGCCCACATTCCCCTGCTCCAAATTGAGTAACACTGCCTCACCTGGCCAGAAGACTGGGAAATGTAGTCTAGCCAGAAAGGAAATGGATTTGGTAAAGAGGCAGAAGATGAGTTAGCTTTCCATCCCTGTATTGTGTCCAGCCTAGCTTCCTGATTCAACCTCCTGACTGGGCTCCCCTCCTCTTCTCTCTCCTTCTCGACCCATCTTCCACAAGGCTGCCAAAGTGACTTTTCTAAAATAAATATTTGACTTGTCACTTGCCTTCCTTAACTCCCTATTATGGACTAAATAAAGTTCAAACCCCTGTAAGCTAAATCTCTCTGTCTGTACACTCAAGTGCACAAGGAATATTTCTGTCTGTGACTGGATTTAATTTTGGCTTTAAGCTCCTGTCCTGCCAGGAAGTACAGTTTTCTCCCCTTTACATAGGTTCTGAGTTCTTGGGAGTATCACAGTACAAAGCCTGGAGTGGGCATTAGATCCTTAGTGGTCACCTCAGAGGGGTTTTCTGAAAGAAATCAAAGGAATCTCATGCCCTCAGAACACTGCAGGCAACCATCCTGAGAATCTCATTCAAATTGTGGATGAACAGAAGCAAACCAGACCTGGAGTACTGAAAAACAACAACAACAACAACAACAACAACTCAACAAGCAAAAGAAATAGAACGAGAAAATGAGTCACTGGGGTTGGGGAGGGCATTAAGAAAGAATTGATGACAGAAGCAGAAACCTCTGTGTACATATCTTTATAAAAGAATAGAAAAGCAACATGAAATAATTCTAGCATATTAGCCAGCTAGCTAGTATATAGTGCACAGGAGTGGTAGCATGTATGTTAATGCTTTTTACTGGTATTTTAATTTATCTCTAAGCACCATATTTATATCATAGACAGTTCCACGGAAACCAGTGCAGAGTGCAGCTTTCACTGTAATGTTTACTGGCAGGCAAAATAATTCCAACAAACAATATAAAGATATATCTGCTTTGTTGAATTATACTGAGATATATAAAGAAAGGGGATGTGTCCAGATATAGAAATGACAGAACATCACATCTGGAAGAATCATTCAGCTTGTGTATAGAGAATCTGGGGTATTTAGAAGCAATGGCTCACCCAAGATCAGGCAGCTAGTAAGTGACAGACTGGGGCCTGAATCCAGACTTTCACACCTACTCTCAGCTGCAACAATGTGGGTGGTTGAGTAAATGGGCACATTTCACTCAGAGCTTCAGAAGGTAGAAGCCTTGAGAGCTGCTGGGAAAATACATGTCAAAGCATAAAGCAGCAGTCAGCAGCTATAGGTTTTCTTTTACTCTGAACACCTTCTGTCTTCTTCTAGATAGAATCAGGACTCACTTTTAGGGCACTAACTCTTCTGGCTAATGTGGTTTCTTGCCCAAACTTATAGGTTGCCATGCACATTCCCCCTGTTCTGTTTACAGCCTCCTTCTCCTGTTGTCTCTGGAGAATGATCCCTCCCCAGTGCATGTAGTCTTAGTGGAGGATCCTTTCCAGGATCTGCTCTTCCCCGGTTGAGGAGAGTCCGTATGATATATAAGCCAATCAGAGTCCTTCTCACGGACATTCAGATCTTAATCAGAGTGACACGAAGATGAAAAACATGGGAGCCAACTCATCCAGTGCTACTCCTGTAGGAGCCTATGCATTAGTGCCTGCTCCCAAGATATCCAATTCTTTCTAGTTCCCATCTTTCTGAGAACAGGCTGTTGAGCTTTACTTCAATTTGCTGTGTCTTGTCAGATCTGTTCAATAAATTTCTTTCTTTGTGTATGTTTGTGAATTTTGTTTTGGTTTCTTCACAAATAAATTGATAAAATATACAGAAATGTACAGTGGGCATCCCTATTGATCCACCTCCACTTAACTGACTTTTTATTAAACCGATGGGTTACCTAGTGCCTCAGCATGCTGATGACTAGTATCCAGTCTGCTTTACAATAGTGCATCCATGCACTCCATTTGAGTCCTGCACTTACCAAACACTTTCGTGTCTGTTCCTAGAGCTGTTCATACACACACACATTACAACTTCATAATGTTATTAAATAGTAACTAATGAGCAGACTCTTTGGCAGCACATACACTAAAATTAGAACGATAAAGAGAAGGTTTGCATGGCCCCTACACAAGGATGACTTGCAAATTTGTGATGCCATTCCACATATTTCCAAAAACCATAAGATACCAGGAATACCAAAGAGGTAAAAAAATTTGTATTCTGAAAACTGCTAAACACTGATGAAAGAAATTGAAGATGACACCAAGAAATGGAAAAGCATTCCATGCTCATGAATTAGAAGAACAAGCAATAAAATGTCTGTATTACTCAAAGTAATCCACATATTTAATGCAACCCCTATCAAAATATAACCAGCATTTTTTGCAGAGCTAGAACAAACGATCTTAATATTTGTATGGAACCAGAAAAGACTCTTCATAGCCAAATCAACCTTGAAAAAGCAAAGCTGAAGGCATCAAAATTCTGGACTTCAAGTTATATTGCAAAACTGTAATAATCAAAACAGTATGGTACCAGCACAAAATTAGATGCATAGATCAATGGAACAGAATAGAAAACCCAGAAATGAACCCAAAACTGTTTGGTTAATTAATCTTTGACAAAGCAGGGAAGAATATCCAATGGAAAAAAAGACAGTCTCCTCAACAAATAGTGTTAGGAAAACTGAAGAGCAACATGCAAAGAATGAAGCTGGACCACTTTCTTACACCATATGCAAAAATAAATGCAAAATGGATAAAAGACCTAAATATGAGGCAGAAATCCATTATAATTCTAGAGGAGAACACAGGCAGTAACCTCTTTGACATTGGCTATAGCAACTTCTTACTAGATATGTCTCCTGAGGGAAGGGAAAGAAAAACAGAAATAAACTATTAGGACTACAACAAAATAAAGAGCTTCTGAAAAACAAAGGAAACAATCAACAAAACTAAAAGGCAACCTACTGAATGGGAAAATATATTTGCAAAAGACCTATCTGATAAAGGGTTAGTATTCAATATATATAAAGAACTTATCAAACTCAACATCAAAAAAACCCCACCAAATAATCCATTTTAAAAAATGGGCAGAAGATATGAATAGACATTTTTCCAAAGAAGACCAGCAGACAACTGACAAGATGCTCAACAACACTCATCATCAGGGAAATACAAATGAAAGCCATGATGAGATACCACTTCATACCCATCAAAATGACTAAAATGAACAACTCAGGGAAAAAACAACAGGTGTTGGTGAGGATGTGGGAAAAAGAGGACCTTTCTTAAACGTTGGTGGGAATGAAAACTGGTGTATCCACTCTGGAGAACAGTGTGGAGTTTTCTCAAAAAGTTAAAAATAGAACTATCCTATGATTCAGCATTTGCACTACTAGGTATTTACCCAAAGGATACAAGAATACTGATTTGAAGGGATGCATGCACCTCAATGTTTATAACAGCATTATCAACAATGGCCAAATTATAGAAAGAGCTCAAATGCCCGTCAACTGATGAATGAGAAAGAAGATGTGGTGTGTGTATATATATGTGTATATGTGCATGTGCATATATGATATATATGATGGAATATTACCCAGCCATAAAATAGAATGAAATTTTGCCACTTGCAACAATGTGGATGGAGCTAGAGAGTATTATCCTAAGTGAAATAAATCACTCAGAGAAAGACAAATACCGTATGATTTCACTCATATGTGAAATTTAAGAAGCAAAACAAATGATCATAGGGGAGAAAAATAGAGAGGCAATCCAAGAAACACATTTGTAACTACTGAATACAAACCAATGGTTACTCGGGGAGAGGGGTGGGTGAAAAGAGAGATGGGTATTAAGGAGTGCAATTGTAATGAGTCAAGGTGTTGTATGCGAGTGTTGAATCAGTTAAATTGTATACCTGAAACTAATATTATACTGTATTAACTAACTGGAGTTTAAATAAAAACATATGAATATATGTATTCACTCATTGTGAAAAATTAGTTGACTTCTTTGGAATCTTGATAAACAACTAGAAAATGTCAATAACTTAGGTGTGAGTGAGAGACAATCAGAAATGGTACAAAATTATAAAACTTCAGAAGAATTTTCTAAGTCACATAGCTTCTCAAAGGTTTTTCAGTTATTTTCCCCCTTCAAACAAATCAAAGCTGAAAATCATAGAGAGTTCCTGATGGGTGACTGCAATCAGCAGACCCAAAACCAAAGAAAGGCTTATGAAAAATTGGGAAATAAATGAATATCTATATGTCTTAAAATACTTAAGGTATGTATCAATCATTATGATTTCTTGGTTTAATTATATTTTTTCAACATATCTAAGTGATCGAATTGAATAGGAGGTCTTTGTATGCAGAAATGCAGAGGGAAATTCATTCTTTACTTGTATCTGCTCAAGTGTTAGTCCTCAGTGGTACTGGCCTGTCTTGACTTTAAGGACCCTTCCCACAACTCTTTTTTTTTTTTTTTTTTTCAGTTTTTTTTTTTTTTTTAATTTTTTTTTTAATTAGTTTATTGTCAAATTAGTTTCCACATAACACTCAGTGCTCATCCCCACAAGGGTCCTCCTCCATGCCCATCCCCCCCTCCCCCCCACATCNTTTCCGCCCTTCTTCTCCCCCTTGTTCCTCCGTCAAGTTCCTCCTAATCCTCCTATACGTGCAAACATATGATATTTGTCCTTCTCTGCCTGACTTATTTCGCTCAGCATAACACCCTCAAGGTCCATCCATGTTGCTACCACAACTCTTAACCTCTGCAAAGGGAACAGCTACAGATGCTAGAACCCTGAGGCCCACAGAGGGCTAGTGACGGTGTCGAGTCATTCAGTGGCTGATGGCAGAGCTGAGACAATGATTCAGATCTCCTTAATGGACGTGAGCTCATCCTGCAGCACGGGGATTTGGTCCAAAGAATTTTGTCCATTTATTTATTCCTTTGTTGCACCCAGCTTTAATATAAAATGGAGTTATTATAACAAGATGGTGTGAAATAAATTATCAGGTCATTTTAGAAATATTACCCACTCAAAAAGATATGAAGTTCATTATTCAGGCATGAAGGAAATGGGAATGAATTACTCTAGGAACTCTGAATAAATCACAGTTAACTCATTTGCGAGCCTTTTAATGCTGAATACTGGTGATGGGTCCTGCAATTCCTGGTCTACTTTCTCCTGTGTCAGACAGGAGTGTTACCTGATGGACCTTTATGAATGAAGCAGGAAAGCTACATTTTACAGTCACTGGCCAGACTAGCAAGATCTTTTCTTTAATTGTCCTAGAAATAAAGATGACTTTTTCACTAAGTAAATGTGAGCACGAAGGTTAATGGTCAGTTAGACCAAAAAGTTGGATCGACTGATCTACTTTTTACTGACTGCTTTTTTATTCCCCCATAGAATTGTGTTTGGGCAGAAATGACAAGATTGAATGACAGTTTTCATATTTGTTGTCAAGGACTAAGAGTGTTTATTATATACCTATTGGCCTCCAGCAGGGTCAACAGTTTCCTCCAATCTTTTCCTCTCCTCCTCCCCTTCCTCCTCTTCTTCTTGTCTTCCTTCTTTTCCTCCTCTTCCTCCTCATGCCATGAGAATGGTTGCCATGTTACATGTCACTGTCTTCTCAAAGGAGGGACAGTGCTGCCCAAAACCAAGGACATGATTAGGACAGACTGCCAGAGTTGAGTTGGGAGAGTGTCTACTTCTTTGTTGGGTTTTATTTCTCAGAACTTTCCAGCAGTCTAGATTAGACAAGAGTTATAAAGTCAAATACTATAGAACTTAGCAATTATTATATGAGGTGGTGGTGTGGACAAACAAGGCTGGGGGGCTCTGTGTACATGGGGTCTATAACTCATCAAAAGGGCAACCAGGATGCAGCTCTAGCCTCCTGGAGGAATGTGGGTCCAGTTACCCAGATCTGCCAACTCTTTAATAAAGCTAGAAATCTAATTATTTCATGTAAAATATCTCTTGATTTTAAAATTAATTATCATTTTAAATGCTGTTGAAGCCAAATAAAATGTATCTTCAGGCCAATTACGGTCCATGGGCTACCAGTAGGTGTCCCCTGACTTTCCCAGGGCTCAGTTGCTTGCAGCTTTGCTCCAGACTAGCTAACTCCACATGGAAATGGTAAAATTTAGGAATATGGCCTTGAGATTTAGAGAAAAAGGGGAAGCTTCAGCCTGGTTAGTTCTAGACTTGAACCTATCTAGGTTCAATGAAAAGAATCTACCTATAACCTGGCCTAGCTTAATCAAGTTTAACATTAGGACTTAGGGCCAAAATCTCAGCATTATAGATAGTATCAGTTTTCCAGGCTAATTTTCTGATTCTATTGATGAATTCTCTGGGACAATGATGTGGCAAGAATCAGTGGTTCACAATCCCATTTCCTGGCCATCTTTCTTCGTTTCTGTTGTCTACAGGTAACTCTGTTACACTGCCTCTCCCCAAAGCTTCCTTTGCATGTATTTGGATGAGGGGAATAGGCAGAAGATAAGGCTCAATATACAATGACTATCTACATGAATCAAATTAACTTTGATTTATTGTCCATTTCATTTACTCTGCATAGACACCAAAAATACTAGATGACCCCACTGTAGCTCATTATTAAAGTTAACATAATTTTATTTAATGAAAATATCTTTTCCATCTCTAATATTTCAGGTTTCAAAATTCCTGTAATTAAAATTCAATAGGGCTACATTCTTATTATAGAGAAGTCAAAATATATTCCATGGCCTTTGATTCCAAAGATTTCTTCATGTAATTAAAGAATATCTTATTTTGGCATTTGGACTTCCTTATTATCTGTGTGCTTGGTTAATAAGTTTTTAATTGAAAATCATCTCAATAAATGAAACTGCAGTGTGTTAACTGAACCAACCAAATAGTCTCATATTCATCATTAATAGTGTGAGAAGTCAAAGGCTTTATTGTGTTATTTATTGAGCACTTATGTGGAAGGAAAAGAGATGAACTTAACCATTTCTTCTGGAAAGTACCCAACAAATCCATCATCAGGAAGATTCTTTAGGCAAAATGAGCTACATTTATAAAATAAATCTGATCAGGCACCCACTGACCTCTGGACCTGCTTCCCTTACAGGGAAATGGAAAAGTTGGACAGGATT